CCCCGCCGGTCCCGCGGCCCCGCCATGGGCGGCGGCGGCGGCGGCGGCGGCGAGCGCCGGGCGCTGTGGCTGTGGGTGCTGTGGCTGTGGGTGCCCGCGCGGTGCGGCGGCGCCATGGACGAGTGCGCGGAGGAGCGGAGCGGGCGGGCGCAGCGCTGCATGCCCGAGTTCGTGAACGCGGCGTTCAACGCCACGGTGCTGGCCACGCACACGTGCGGGGCGCCGGCCGAGGAGTACTGCGTGCAGACCGGGGTCACCGGCGTCACACAGTCCTGCCACCTCTGCGACGCCGCCCAGCCGCACCTGAGCCACGGGGCCGCCTTCCTCACCGACTACAACAGCCCGGCCGACGCGACCTGGTGGCAGAGCCGCACGATGCTGGCCGGCGTGCAGCACCCCACCGCCGTCAACCTCACCCTGCACCTGGGTAAGGGCGGGGAGGGGGCACGGGCAGGGTGCTGCGCCTGGGGGGAGTAACCCTGGGCACCGGTAGGGCTGGGGGTGACCCGCTGCGGGGAGGGAGCTGCGGGTCCTGGTGGCCAGTGGGATCCTGGGGCGCATCAGGAAGAGCAGGTCAGGGAGGGGATCCTGCCCCTCTGTCCAGCCCTGTGAGGCACATCTGCAGTGCTGGGACCAGCTCTGGGCTCCTCAGGACAGGAGGGACAAGAGCTCCCGGAGCGGGTCCAGCAGAGGCTGTGAGGATGCTGAAGGGATGGTGCAGGAAAGGCTGAGGGAGCTGGGGCTGCTCAGCCTCGAGAAGAGACACTGAGAGGGCATCTCATTAATGTGTATTGGTATCCAAAGGGAAGGTGTCAGAGGTCGGCCCAGGCTCTGCTCAGGGGGCCCGGCAATGGGCAGGAACTGATGCCCAGGAAGTTCCACCTGGACATGAGAAAGAACTTTGCTGTGCAGTGACCCAGCACTGGAACACAGAGAGGGTGTGGAGTCTCCTCCCTGGGGATATTCCAGACCCTTCTGGACACAACCTATGCCATGTGCTCTGGGATGACCCTGCTGGAGCAGGGAGGTGGGACCAGATGAGCCACTGTGGTCCCTTCCAGCCTGACCCATTCTGTGATTCTGTGCTGAGTGGCAGCCCCATTCATGGGGCACCTCCAGGACAGGGTTCAGGGGGTGTAAGCAGATCCTCACTCTGCAGGTCCCCAGCTGTGTTCACCTGGTGTAAGTCAATGGTTCCTGCATCCCCGAGCTGTGTCAGGGGTGCCCTCAGCTGAGGGTCTGGCCCTGCACTGGCTCTTCACCCCTTGGCTGATGGTGTACTCACAGCTGCCCAACAGTGCTAGGTAAAGTTTATTTTCAGCCTTCCCCAATGAATATTACAGGGAATGCTCCACTGCAGTCTGCATTGGATGTGCTCTTGATTTGTGAGAGGAGCAGCCTGTGCTGCCAGAGGCAGTTGGCAGTGGTGTGCTCGCAGTGATCATGTGCTGCCCCATGCACCGGGAATCATTGAGTTATTTAGATTGGAATAGTATCAGGAAGAAATTCTTCCCTGTGAGGGTGGGGAGGCCCTGGCACAGGTTGCCCAGAGAAGCTGTGGCTGTTCCATCCCTGGAAGTGTCCAAGGCCAGGTTGGATGGGGCTTGGAGCAACCTGGGCTAGTGGAAGGTGTCCCTGCCCATGGCAGGGGATGGAACTGGTTGAGCTTTAAGGTCCCTTCCAACCCAGGCCATTCCAGGATTCTATGACAAGACTTTTAAGATCATCGAGTTCAACCCAGCACTGCCAAGCCCCAGGCTGGATCCTGGAGTGTTCCAGGCAGCAGGCTTGTGGTTCAGGTGGGAGATGTTGGTTTGAAAAGTGGTGAGCACTGTGGAACATCGCGTGTGTGTGAGGGCACATCTGCTCTGTATCCTCTTATCCCCAGGGCAGTGTTTTCCTGTAATTGCTGGGTGGATTAGGTGTGTCAGCAGTCAGCATTGCTGAGGAACCCATCACAGCGAGTCAAAAAAGGAAGGTGGATTTTCTGTTTAATTTACCTTCCCAGAGATTCCTTTGGGATAAAGTATTGTAGCCTTTGCCTTGGTTTGTGGACAAGCTTTTCTTTTCTTCTCTTCATTAATTTATTCAAGCTGTTGTGACATGGAGAAGGGGTAATGGTTTAGAACTAGAAGATGAGCCAGCCAATGGCAAGTTGAAACCACAGCTTATATCCTCATGTCATTAAATCGAGGAAAAATTAAAGAATGCCCCACTGCAACCATTCACAGCTTCTAATCAAGAGCAGCTGTTGAGCCTTAAGTTTAGCATTGATAACAACATAATTCAGAGAGAAAAAAATTACGTTAGGGCTTGGGGAGCTGGGTCTTGGGTTTCACAATCTGAGGATGGGTTGTATGAAAGCTCCCACCTGCGTTTGTGAGATGATGACACTGAGCCCTGTACCCGGGGTCACCTGGTGACCACATTGATGTGCCCCAGTAGCCTGGAGTGCCTCACTGCCCTGAAGTGTTTCTTTGTGTTAGGAGCTTCAAAATAAATATACCGTGTAAGTATGTCTTGTCGATCAGATAAGGGGAGGTAGTTATTAAAGCCTTGTTATCTTCTTTGTTTCTTTGTACAATGGGAATGTTTTATTCAGGACTCCTGGAAAAACTGGTAAGCTGAGATTTGATCTCAAGTTCTTTTTTAATAGAAATCATAATTCTCGTTATCAAGGCAAAATTTCATGGACATATCTGTATTGCTGCTGTCTTATGTGCACCTGTGTGTGTATGGGTGTTCTTTGAAAAACAGCAGTATTTTTCCAGTGTACTGGAGCAAACAGCATGCTGTGTCCTGGGCTTTGAAGAAATGTGCACAGTTCTTTGATGAAAAAATTGCATCTTTGAAATATTGTAGTATTGCCACACAGTCCCTTGGGTTCTGGATTTGTTTGCGGGCCCTTGCAGCTTTGTGGATTGGCTCTGCCTTGTTTTTCGACTAGAGTACAACTTTTAAGCAAAGCTGCCTGGCTGACTTCCACATATTTGAGGGGGATTTTTTTTAACCTGTTTTTTCCCAGTTAGGTTTTTGGGTGGGGTGTTTGTAGTGTGAAGCCTTTTAAGAATCAGAAGCTTGCTGAGGGCATGGTGGTGGTGGCAGGAGTTAGTTTTATGATGACTAAGAGCGGAGCATTAAGCTCTCTGTGCACGTGCTGTAAATATTCCTGTACAACTCTGTATGTGTTGCTGAGTTCATGGCAAGTTGAAGAGCTGTCAAGTACTGAAAGTGCAGTTTTAGACTGAAGTGCCCCAAAATCTTTTGCAGCGTTGCTCTGCTCTACTTCTGCGACATCAAACCATCTTTCTTTGCGTGAGCTGTTGGGTGCCCACCGGCACCATGGTCTTTGAGACACTTAATTATTGACATCACTAAGAGAAGGAGGCAAAGAGCTTGACAAGTGTTTATGTACTTGGTAGGACGTAAAGGCATTCTGGGACACAAAGCCCTTCTCTGCAGTTAGTTGTGCCTGGTTTTCGAGGATTAAGCTCTGTGCTCAGACCCGTATCCTTGTTTGATGCTGCAGTTGCCTTCATTTCTAGAAGCACTGGTGTCCTGAGTGGTCGTGCTGCATTGCACCCATTGGGGACCAGCAGTGTTAGTGTGCACATGCTGCCCTGTGCTGAGGTTTTTGACCGTCTGAGATGTCTTGATTAACATCCAGTGATGTTCAGTCCGCGTAGAACAGCCTCAGCATTTCAGAGGAGCCTGTGGAAGGTCAGTAAGAGCTGCGGGTCTGTTGCCAGCATGGAAACGTGGGTTTCTTTAAACTTGTTTTAAACTGGGAGTTGTAAGAAGATTCAAAAACCTTTAGTTTTGAGACTGGATGCCAGCAAATAGCCTGATACAGAAAGTGCAACACATATCACTACTGCTGAGAGTTAAAGGCTTGGATCCTTGGAATTGCTTGGAAAGGAAATATGTGCCCAGAAATGAAGGTGTTCCCTGTGGAGAGGGGAATTGGGGTAATTACCAGTCCCTGCACCAGGAACATCTGGAGTTATAAAAGCTGTTTCTCTTTGTACTAGAGGGTATTAAGACCCCCTGAGTAAGATTCCCCCCCCCAAGAGGCCTAGAGACTTGAGTTTGCAGCTGTAAATCAGGAGAAGGGGGGAGCTGAACCCATTCACAGGGTGGTGTCTGGATAATTAGGTTAGTGGATGAGAGGAGAGGGGAGCACTGCTGTGTCCCTTCTTCCACTTTTCTCAAAAGTATCCCTTGGCTTACCCCGTTTTACAGTTCCTCAAGTTGAATCATTTCTGATTTAGACTTGACCCAGCCAGTCACTTTTTTCCTCCAACGCTGCCCTCCTGCCGTGTTCCCATATATTCCTGAAATAAGGGACTTTGGGGCAGCAGTGCCCCAAGTAGATGAAAGCCAAGGCATTACTGGTATGTAGTTAGTTGTCTGCCTTTTTTTTTTTCTTTTTTTTTGGTGAAGTCACATTATTTTTACAGTGTGTGCTGTTCACCTGTCCTGGGAGCATTGGGATAGTTCTGGCATCTCTCCACACTTGGAGCACAGCTTTGCTGTTTAGACCCCTAACACACCAAAACAAAGCCATGTGTTAAAGTTGCTCCTTAGAACATGAAAGAAGAGGAAAAGAAACAGCATGGAGGTACATGGAGTACTTGTGGTGGGCAAAGGTTTGCGTTTTTTTCAGATGCTGTATGATTTTCCAGAGCAGTTTCTCACTTTTTCTTTCTGCAGCTCTAATTTCCATGTGCTGTTTCTACTCTTTCTACACCTTTTTTATCCACTTCTGTGTGTGCCTTGGCATTCCCTTCCCAACTGGCCCCGCCAGAGCCACCTCTCATTTTTCCCCACCACTTTTACCCTCTGGCTGCATGTGCTCGATTTCAGCTTTCGTGATCCCAGTGTTTTGTTCCTCGGACAAAGAGGCAGCGTCCTCAGCATGCTGGTGGCTGTTCCGTGCTGGGGTGACCCCATCTCCACTGAGAGCAGCCGTGCTTTTATCCGCAGCCTGCGAGCCAGGAGTGGTCTGACCTGGCGTTCCCAGTGTGGGTGACTGCCCACTGCATGTCAGCGGGGACAGTGCCCAGGAGATGCGCTTGGCTGATGGTGCTGGTGGCCTCAGCTGTGAATCCAGGACCATCTGTAGCAGGAAAGACCAATTCCAACCTCTTCTCTCATTTGCCTGGGAAGAGGAGCTGGTGTTCAGTCCTGGAAGCAGCCCTCTGCTAACTTGCCTTTCACAAGGAGAGAGATGAAATTGCTGGTTGCCTGTGTTAAAAGCATGTTGGCTCCTGAAATCCCTAAAGTAGACCAGCCTAGAAACCCATGTTGCTGAGCTGGGTGGTGTCTTGTGTGTATAAAATAAAGAAAAACCTATGAAGCTATCTGTTGTTGGAGAAATGGGCTGCCTGTCTCCTTTGCCTCCCCCTTCTCTACCCGCTCAGTCCT